AGTTTTAACTATTATTCACAATTAAGTTGGGTATGACAGAATGACAGTTAAGAGAATGATTGACAATTTAAACGTCAAATTAATTACTAATACTAATTTTTTAATGGAACATCCAAAAAGTTACGTACAAAAATCTACACATCTTTCATAAACTGAGTATTAGTTTGTAGTATGTTATCTAGTTACTAAATTGTTGATGCAAAAGTTGTGATTTTCTTTCAAAATCTACTATTTGTATCATCAGTTTTCTTCATCCATTTCAGTTGGCTATGACAGTTAAGAGAATCATTGACAATTTAAACGTCAAGTCTTATAGTATAATAGAGAGAAACGTCAAATTAAGTGACAGATAAGTACATTATAGGTTACAAGTATTTTTCAAAATTGAATTGATATAATAAGTGAACTGATCTCCGAAATTGAAAATTGCGTAACAGTCTGCAGTCCGAATACATTCTTTTTCGAAGCGATGACACAATTCTCTTTGTAATTCCTCGACATTGGAAAGCGAACCTTTCACTGACTCAATCTCTTTTACTACACATACGTACGCCCAATTAAAGATACACCGAAAAGTCCAATTAGTTGTATCGTCATCCATTAAAATTAGTCCACTATAAGAAAAAAAAAGACACACAAACTGTAATTAACAACGAAAAATTATATTAACAGTTCCATTTCGTAATTTATATAAATTGTTATAGACTTTAATGCAGTCTAGTTTCATTTATTTCGATTCATAATTGAAAACCGAAAACTAGAATGCACTAGTATCGGTTTTGGTGGGTTTTAATTAATAAATTAAATTAGTATCGTCGTTTGTGTTCGAAAGAGAGAGAGATGGAGAGAGAAATTTATGTTTTATCAATTTCAATTAGTTCCGTGCTTCGTGATTTTAATGAAACATTCTTTAACGCGTTTAAATATCACCATCACTTATTAATATCGTCAAATTTATTTCATTTCTATTTATAATTTCTTCTTTCCATCGTTTCATTACGATCGTTGCTAACTTTTATATTTAGTTACTAACGTTGTTTTCTTTGTTGCTATGCTATTATATTGCATTAATAACGTTTAATAATGCGTTGCTATGGTTTTTTATTGCATTGCTAACGTTTAATAACATTTCTAACGTTCAAAAATGTACGTTTCTTTTGTATAATATCACGTTGTTAACGTTTATACATAATGGATCAACTGCGGTTTTCGAGTATTCTCGTTCTCCAAGTTGGCATTCGTTGAACAATGCTCTGCGAATTATTAGTTGCATAAAAAAAATGGTTTATTTGCAATGTTTCAGCTTTTGTTACGTATTTCAATTGTTTTCACTGCTTGACTCTTCCATATTGATATCGTTGCCAACTTTAGTTTTGTGGTTATGTACATTATTTTTTTTGCATTGTTTCATGATTTGTCTCTTTTTTATACCAATATAGTAAAAGTATCGTCACTAACATTTATTGCATTAGTTTATGGTTATTTTTATTATTTCGGTTGGTATTACCAAAGTTGGCAACGATATCAATATGGAAAAATATTTTGTATCTATTAAATGAACAATATATGACATCATTACCAACATTTATAATGTTAACCAGTTTATGGTTATTTTTATTATTTCGGTTGGTATTGCCAAAGTTGGCAATGATATCAATATTGAAAAATATTTTGTTTCTATTAAATGAATAATATGGGACATCATAACCAACATTTATAATGTTAACCAGTTTATGGTTATTTTTATTATTTCGGTTGGTATTACCAAAGTTGGCAATGATATCAATGTTTTGTTTCTATTAAATGAACAATATGTGACATCATTACCAACATTTACAATGTTAACCAGTTTATGGTTATTTTTATTATTTCGGTTGGTATTACCAAAGTTGGCAATGATATCAATATGGAACAATGTTTTGTTTCTATTAAATGAACAATATATGACATCATTGCCAACATTTATAATATTAACCAGTTTATGGTTATTTTCATGATTTATGTTGGTATTAAAAAGAATGTAACACGTTTTTATTTTCTTGAGTTTGGTATGCTTTTTGGAAATTTTTCAGTTTCTGAAAACATAAAGTTTTACTTATAAAACTGCAAGTTTCCGTTACACGCTTTTAGCTTTATGCACCACGAAACTGTTTTATTCATTTGTTTTCAACGCCTTCCATGCATAACAAATTAGCTTTTCTAATCCTCGTATTAATTTGTAACATGTTGACTAAGTACTAATTTTTTAAATGGAACATACAAAAAGTTACGTACAAAAATCTACACATCTTTTATAAACTGAGTATTAGTTTGTAGCATGTTATCTAGTTACTAAATTTTTGGAAAAGTTGTGATTTTCTTTCAAAATCTACTATTTTGTATTATCAGTTTTCTTCATTCATTACAGTTTTCTATGACAGTTAAGAAGAAACTTTGACAATTTAAACGTTAAGTCTAATAGAGAGAAACCAGAAAATTTTGGTAAATTTGTAAATTATGTTTTGTATTCTCATTGGAACTAACGAATGATTAATGTGACAAGATCTAACATGCGTTTCTACTAAAGTAATGAAGTTTTAACGGGCCGTTAAACATGACAGGTATACGGCGGAAACCTTTTAGAATCTGTAATTTCGTAGACGAGTGTGATGATGGTCTGGCTGTTTGCGGTTTATTCAATAATGATCCATCAAGATCAAAGGAACCGTTCACATTTTGGGTCGAATGCGTTTGCGGATCGCTTCCGGCAACCATCCCAGCCCTCCTGATTCAATCTGACGAATTAAAACAATGCTTCGGACACATCAAATGGTGTCTAAGAGGACAGGAGAGAGACTAAAATCGAATTCGTTTAAGAAGTTTCATCCTTCGATAACGAGAAGAAGCCCGAAGCTCCGCACAAACACAAAATCGATCCGGCGTGCGCTGCTTCAATCCAAGCAAATGCAATTTGTTATGAAGCAAAACGTCTATTTTCTCGGATACAGAAAGAAAAAGTATAAGAAAAGTTCAGAAAGTTTTAACGAACAATTTGTCAGTTGATAATTGAAATAATCGCTTTCAAATTCTATAAAATAACACTTTATTTAACAGATTGTTAGAAACTTTATTGAATTTAACGAAATATTCTCATTTTCTACGTAATTAGAGGTAAATGCAAAAGCGACATCTCTTATTGATTCACGTAACTAAAATTATGCGCAAACTTGATTAATTTGATTTATTTCAATGACAACATTTCAGCGATTAATACACTCCGGTATTGATTTTTATTTATTGCGAATTTTTAGGTTAGGGGTGGAAAAAAAAAAGTTTGTTGTTTTTTTTTCCAACCTGGAGTAAAACTCGTTTTGCGAGCGGAACGGAGAATTTATTTGGATGTGTGTATTTTGTTTGTTTCTTTTTGTTGTTGCAGTTTTTGTTCTTGTTTATTTGTTTTTTTTTTGGTTGTTTCGTAACGAATTTATGGACTGCGCCTAATATACACACAAACAAACAAACAAAAGCAAAAACAAACAAACTCACATATTTTCCGACTGACCGGAAAAACTTTGCGACGCTGCAGCATTTTCCATCGTTGTTACCATAGTTACTATTATTACCATGGTTACTCATCGGACCTTAAGGTAAACGCAATAAATTCAGGAGATGACTAAGTGCGTGAGTGTGCGAGCGACACTGAAAGTCAGAGAGAGATTCAGCTTTCTCTCAGAGTTCTGCGCTTGAACGCAGATTCATCATTTATCATCATCATCACCCAACGAATTCACCTACTACTACCACTATAACCAACCCTTACTCATTCACTAACTCTGACTATGTTTGAAACAATAATTTAATTGTGTAATGTTATTACACTAACTGTAAACTAATTTAATCGATTTCCTTTTTTTTTTTGTTTCAGGTGAGTGCTTTCTCTCCTTCTAACGCACGTGCGAAGTTTGCGAAGTCGAACGACCTATATTCTAACTGTCGTCGGATGGAACGCTTTTCCGCAGCGTTTTCCGCATTCCCGGCGAAAAATAAACGCGTTCCCTTCACGAAGACAGCTTCATTAATTCTATGGGAGGCCATGAAAGTTATTTTTTATTGCTATTGCCATTGGAAGTAACGCAGATAAAAGTTGCAGTTTTTCATCACTTAATCACATTAGAGAAAAAATTAAGCGCAAAGAAACAACAGTAAGTGTACATTTTTAATCAATTACAGTTTTTGAATAAGAAGTTAAAAAAAAACTAATTAATTTCCATAAGAAATTATTCATAAAAATAGAAATTTTCAATAATTAAAAAAAAAACTCATATTTAAGTGAATACTTTATGATAGTTAATAATAATAAAATAAAGAAACAAAAGTTGTTTTTTCAACGCTATAAACGGTAACGACGGTAACTTTAAAATTAAGTTTCACAAAAACAAACGAAATAAAAGAACAGAACAAAACCCGATCGAATTGCGAAATTTAAACGAGATCTGCGTCTTCACTTACGTAATTCGACTTGCTTTTATTTCTTGTTGAGAGAGAGAGAGAAATGGATTAATTTATGCGCGCACGAGAGCAAGAATCTTCGAAATGAGAAAAAGAAAGCAGTTCTTTCCTTTTGCTTTTACCTCGCGCCCGTATTCTTATTTTTTTTTCTCTTCGATTCCGACATTCTTTATTACTTTGATGAGCAGAATTTCGAGATTTTTTTTATATAATGAAAGAAAAATGTATACACAAAAAAATTGATTGATTAAGCTTTCCAAATTAGTGCTAAATGCATTTGACCCAAAAATTAATTTTATACTTTTTATTTTAACGTTATTAGAAACCTATTAAATATTATGATTATTACTATCTAATTAAGAAATTTGAAGAAGTTGTAAGATTTTTTTTTAATGTAAATGCGTTGCGTTGTTGTGTAAAGCATTGGTATTATGTAAGTTGCGTGTGAAACAATTGAATTACGTGTATGTAACGTGTAGCGCCATCTCTTTGAGGTCTATGGGAAATTCGGTTTTGTTTACTAGTTTAGTACGAGTGAATCGAAGAAGCGCGGCGCTGATTGAAAAGTCAGAAATTCCTAACCTGAATTGAGTGCGGCGTTTGTGCTATTAGTATACAAACAGTTTTCGCTTGAGAATAGTATAAAAAATAACAGTGGGTGAGTCTTTTTAAACATTTTTAATTTGTTTGTTAAAACTGTTAAATTCTCTTGTATTTTTAGGGTAAATGACTATAATGTCGCTGGCCCATTATCTGCAGATGCTGGAGAGGTGCTGGCATCAACAGGATGGCCTCAAGATTGCAGCCCTCCTCTCCCTGCGCTACGATCAAGCTGCAAACCTTGCCCAAGAAAACCCCACGGGAATGGTGATGAGGTTCGTTAAACCGCCACTCGATGAGCTTGTCATCGCTCATTTGAAGTGTATGCACTATTTACTCATGGGCAGCTTCACTTACGCTTACAAACAGCAAAGCGTGCTGGTGCAGAATCTCACAAAGATTATACAGACGCAGAAGGAGGAAAACTGGTTTCTGCCTGTCATGTACACGACTTGCTTAGATTTGCGGATTTTGGCGCAAGGTGCCGAAAAGGAGCAGATGTCAGTGAATAATAAGCCTGGGGAAATCTTAGAGAAGGCTGCCGAGTGTCTGATGGGTTGTTTCAGGGTGTGCGCAGCTGATAACAGATCTTCAGAGGAGAGCACCAAAAGAATCGGCATGCTGAATTTGGTGAATCAATTGTTTAAGGTGTACTCGAAGATCAATAAACTGCATCTGTGCAAGCCACTGATTAGGGCTATAGAATCTTCACCGTTCAAGGAAAGTTTCTCGTTGAGTCAACAGATAACCTACAGGTATTACGTGGGGAGAAAAGCTATGTTCGACAGTGATTACAATGCTGCCAACGAGTATCTGACGTACGCTTTCGAGAATTGTCACAAAGACAGCAGGAAAAACAAGAGACTGATACTGTTTTATTTGGTGCCTGTCAAGATGTTGCTTGGTTACATGCCCAGCAGGAAAGTGCTGGAGAAGTACGACGTGCAACAGTTCTGGGATTTGGTACAAGCAGTCTCGCAGGGAAATTTGAAATTGTTCGATGAACTGATGGAGAAGCACGAGCAATTCTTCATCAAGTGCGGCATCTATTTGATCGTCGATAAATTGAAGATCATCGCCTACAGGAATCTGTTCAGGAAAGTCTACTTGATTCTGAATACGCATCAGATACCGGTGGATGCTTTGCAGACTGCCCTCGTTTCTTTAGGTCAAACTGACGTAGATACTGATGAGACCGAATGCATAGTCGCGAATTTGATTTACGAGGGGAAAATCAAAGGGTACATCTCGCATCAACATAGAAAAGTCGTAGTCAGCAAGCAGAATCCGTTTCCATCGTTGACGAGTCTAACGTAGATTTACTAGATTTACATTTTTATAAGCTAATCAAATAAAACTGTTCGTTATTTTATTTTTCACACAACTTCAGTTTCATTACAAACTACATCATTCTTACTATGACAACCAGTTACTAAATAAACATACTTCAACTGTTTTTTCAGCACATTTGATAATTGCTATTCTATCAATACACTAGATTTTGTTACATAACATTAATTGTCTAACTTAGGACAAGAATCATAAAAAGAGTGTTAAATCTTCAAAACCCTTCATTCTTTCTATAATTTAAATTAGTAGTAAATCTGTTATTCAAACTAAACTAATTAAACTTTATTTTAATAATTCGCGCGAATATTAGTAACAGTGAGCAATTTTCCAAATATCTGCTAAAGTATAGATACATTCCTGCGCTTTTATCCAAATTGCTGTAATACGCGTTCAAAGTTAAAAATTGAAATTGGAACGTTCGAAAAAGCAGTGTTTTCACATTTCATTGATTTTCTCGAAAACTATCATAGAGAAAATGAAGTGGTTTTAGCCCTTTGTGTGTTTGTGTTCAAAGTTTAAAAAATGCTCGAAAAAGTAGTGTTTTTACATTTCATTGATTTTCTAGAAAACTATAATACATAGAATGAATCCAAAAAATTCATATGAAAGCTGAATGTTTGGGGAATCAAGCAATTATCGATATATTACTGTGGTTATAGCCGTTTGTGTGTAATTCGTGTTCAAAGT